CTTCCCCTGATCACCTCTTGTATGTATTTAAGCCCTTTGTTTTCTGCATGCCATTGTCGGGTTGTCTGTTTATCTCACCAGAGTTACAGTTATAGTCTTAGCCTGTTAGTTTCCACCACAGTTATAGTTTTTGGTCTTAGTACCTCTTAGTGTTTTGTGTCTTAATGTTTTGACAGTTTGCTTTGGTTTCCTGGTTTTTCCTTGCCGTTATCATTAAAGGATCACTTTTCCGTTAAAACCTTACCTCGTCGTCATCTGCTTTTGGGTCCTGTTTCCACACACATCGGCGCACCCCGCCGTGACAAATAGTTGATCACATGTTTTGATTTGAATTTTACTACACACCAGTGAAATTTCTCTTGCCTCTTTAATAATAAGTGCATTATTACCTTTAGTTATTACTGTTAGTTACATCTGAAGGACAAATCTATCAATCAAATTAACCACTCGAACAGTCAGAGACAGTAAAATTCCTATTGCAAAATAAACACCTAGACTTCAGCTCAAACACTATTTTAAGTGGGACATGAATGGAGAGTTTTTGTCTTTCATGAATGGTCTAAGGAGCTTGGAAAGAAAAGCGTCTGGACTTCGTTAAGTTGCTTGAAGATGTTTCACCTCTCATCTGAGAAGCTTCTTCAACTCTAGGGTCAAATGGTGGAGAGTCCCAGATTTAACCCCTGTAGGAGTGGCCCCCCAGGCAGGACTGGACTGGGACAAAAAAATCAGCCTGGGCATTTTGACGATAGACCAGCCCACCAGGTATTATAGGAAAAGCCATAAAGCCTATGAAAACAAATGCTGGTGTGACAGTGTTGTACACTATCTTGTTGGTGTATATGTATCTAACAAACTTAAACCTACACCATCCTCCCAATTCTGGTATTTTAAACAGTACCTACCGGAAATATCAAACAACCTGATCAATAATTACATATACCTAACTAGCAGGGTTGCCAACTCCCAGCAAAAGAATAGGGAACCACCCCCCCATCCTCCGCCTCATGATGCTTAATCGACGTAATCAACTTTCATCTTTTGCCAGGGTAAAACAAATGCACAGAAACCAATTATTTTTCTACAGTAATTAAATAGATTCAACATATTTCTTCAACAGAATTGCAGACTGCACACATGGTACCTCCTCAAAGGAAAAAGTACTATAGCTTACTAGGGTATATTAGACTTAATGTTGACTAAATACAATAATGGATTTCTATACATTTTACATCAGATGATCACTTTGGTTGTAAGATTCAGATAATTATTTAATAAAAGCGAGAGATTTTAAATAATATTAAGAAAGAAAAGTATTTCCTTGTGCCCCCCTCTCCCTGTTAATGCCCTACCTGCACCCCTGGCAAAACTTTGCTAGACCCGCCCCTGCACAGTTACCAGCTGTCAGCTA